AACACATGTTTTAGAAATGCAATCCTGAAATTCTGATGTACTGAAACAACCCAGAAATCTCTGTTTAACCTCATGGAAGGGGGAAAAAAGAAAAAAAAGAATTTGAATAAGGGCAATGAGGAGATTAGGAGTGAATTATTTACCTACTTTACTTTTTTTGTTTCAAAATAGAGGTTCTTTCCTCTTTGGTGACATTTCTGTCACCAGACAGGTGCAAAGCAGAGACCCTCTGTCTCCACCATGGCTGGGTACTTACTTACTAGAAGATCTTTTTATAAGAAAAATCCACTTAGCTGATCTGTAAGAACTGCATTCAGGAATCACAATATTGTAGTAGACAAACTCCTCTACTACTCATTTGTTGACTTTCAGCATTGATTTATGTTAATAATATAACTATTGAGCAGTTCTGGGTATTTTTCTAATGTAGGCACATCTTCCTGTCTTCCTGTCAATAACCTCAAACTAACTGCACTACTTCAATAGACAGGTCCTGATGTACAAGAAGATAAAGGTTTCTGTCATGTGTTCTCTGTCAGGTTAGACTGCTAAATTAACCTGCAAGTAAAGTTAGTAAAAAAAAAAAAACAAAAAAAAAAAACAAAAACAAAAAAAAACATGCTGAGCACATAGTGGTTTAACATAGTGGTTTAGGCAGTAGATGTCAAAATCTGTTAAATGTCTTTCTCTGTCTGTAAGTGTGTACAGAGGGAAATTTGAAGCCCTGGCTTTAGATGTGAGCAGAAGTGAGTCTGTCTGTAATTCTACCTCCACTTCCTTTACCAAGTTTACTTTCTAATTAATTCTGCACTAGGTCCATCCAGAACTAACTCTAACTTAAGTCAAGGAGGAATGATCTGCAGGCATAATTACTTGCATTGCTAATTTTATGAAAACTTCTGGGAAAATTGTTGAAGTATCAGGTCAAGAGACCAACTTAATTACACCCATTATAAAGTCTATTTTCACTGTTTCTAAATTGCTGTGGTACAGTGTCACTCTGTATACCATGGCACAGGTATTTGCACAGAGCTAGAAAACATAACTGCTGTTATTAATGCAAAAGCATAGTAGGCCATGTTGAAAGCTGTGGTTCCAATTTTAATAGGCTTGAAGGCTTATTTCAGTTCTGAGTCTCTGCTCTTACAGGCTGAACAAGCTCCCGCTCATCTAGGTTTGCCAATATTATAATTTCATTATTAATCAGATACTACAGCCTTTGGCTGCTTACCAAATGATTTGAATGATATGCTCTCCTTCAGTGTTAATTAGTGCGAGCTCTGAGATCTCAAAGATAAGAGCATAATACTTTGGTACATTTCCTCTAAAGTGCCTTTTATGTGATTTATTAGTTACACAGAGGTTTCAACCAGAAACATAAAATAGTTCTATCTTGTAAAGGATTACAATTTTAGGTTTCTGCATGCTTTTCCTTCATGAGCTGCCTGCATTTAGAATCTGAAAATTTATTTGATCTATCAATTATCTGAGAATGTGTATATATTATTTATTTCAATTAAAATTACTTGAAAGGAATAGAAAACACCCTGTTTGACTCACTTTGAAATATATATATCTTATTTATCATTTTCTCAATATTAGAGGTATGTCAAGATACGCCTCAGGAGCCATGCTGGATCAGAAAGGGTCTTGCCAGGCCCATCGCCTCTTTCTTTTTATCCCCAGTAGTTTGAGGAAAATGCTTTGTGAAGGTCTACAGTAAGTTTCTGTCTTCACTCTTTTAAAACACATCCAGATTTTACCTCCGGTTATAGCTTGAGCATCTCCACTCTGTCAGTCCAGGTCCATTAATCACATCTAGGGGTAAAACTGGTAGAAGCTTTCACAAATACCGAAATTACTGGCTGTAAACTGAAGATGTTTATCAGATCGTGCTTTTAATACTTTCTGTTATTAGATTTAGAAGTATATAGTGAATTTTGGATACAGTTAGATCAATACAAAGCATCTTGATATTGATATGGTTAGTAGGTGTGAAGTAATATTTATCAAAGTAGTAGTATGCTAACAGTATGATTTAAAACATTTTCTATATTTCAAGAGAAAAAAATCATGTAATTAAAATAGTTGAAACAGGAAAAAAAAAAAAAAAAACTATGTACTGATGAGATCAGAGTTTTCTCCTATATGGAATAACCCATAGCAAATTTTGCAGGTGCCATGATGCAATTGTACTGTATTAAAAAAAAAATAAATAAATCATGAACTGTTGGAGATAAAAATGTAGATTTGGCAAGCCACTAGAAGTACCCTGATGCGCTAATTTTATTTTTCTCTCCAGCACTGTATTTTTACTATTTTAGAAAGTAGTTAGTTATGTTACAAAACCTTACAGCTTAGAAGTCATATTCATTTTTATTCAGGTAAAACAAATTATAATCCCTTCCTTTGCAGGCAAGACTCAGCCTGAGGTGAAAGGGATTTAAAGACCTCCTGTAACTAGTATTTTTTGTTTTCTAATTTAGATGATTACCTCAACATATTAGTTGTTGACCATAAAAAAAAAAAAATTGGGCTGCAGTGGGAATGCGGAATGCGGGTAGATGTGTCTTTGCCTCTTTCTTTCTGAATGTAGGTTTAGTGCAGGAAAGGTGATTCAGAGGAAGAAAATGGGGTTCTGCAGATATTGCACTATAGTCCAGGAAGCCATTTGTACGTATCTAATGCACCTTGGTCATTGCAGTGGGTGTTGAGATGTCTTAATACAGCTGTGGTGGGTGGTAAATATTACTTCCATGGATCAAGCCTTTGGTGTTCTGCATCTCAGACAGAAGGCATGTATCTGCAACTCTATCGGATTCTTTTCAATTTGCTAGCTTGTAGGCATCCCTATCCCTGTTGTGGCAACTTCTTCTAAGTTGGAGCAGGGAGGGCAGCTTTGAATAGATGCTGATGAAGACAGCAGAGGAGTGATCGAGTTCATCTGTCGAGCTGTCCCTCTGCATCTGGCAGCTGATTGCTTGATGAAGCAGGCAGCAAAGTAGCAATCTGTTGAAGACAAGTCTTCTAAGCCTTTTAAGAAATTCAAGAAAACGCGTTTTGAAGAGCCACCAATTAAAGGAAAACAAGCTTGATTACTCAGGGTCTAAGGAAACTTCTAGCTAGAGATTGCTTATTTTGTCTGTCTGTTAAATTCTGATTTCTCTAAGTGACACAGTACTACAATAGCATGCGGTTGAGAGTGATTAAATAACTTAGGAAATGAGTTTATTAGATTTTTGGCCAATTAGACAGGAAGAAAGAAAGGATCACTGGAGCTTAAATTCTTATGGAGATTTTTTTCTGTACTGTAAACTCTTTCTGGTCTGTTAAGGACAACAACTGATAGACTTTGGGGCAGGGTGTGGGGAGTATTCCAATCACTTGTCACCAATCAAGATCTGTATCCAGCAATTCACATAAACATGCTTAACTTTGAACGAGAGAATTGCTGGTGGGAGTTTCCTTATGTACTTATGGAAACCTGTCAGAGCTTTGAGAAACAGAAGAGGGATTGTACAGTTAGGGCTGGTCTGGTCTTGTCTCCGCTGTTTGCATCCATTTCTCCTTATAATGTTGATATTTACCATTTCCTTCGACCCCAGAAACTGATTTAAAAGCAATGTCTTTGTGCACTTAAATAAAGTTTCCTTTCTTGGAGTGGTAATGCTAAAAACAGAACGTCCTGCTCTGATGTGGGTGATGTTTGTGAGCTTTGGCAGCATGTAGGTGTCACTACAGACAAGGGTTTTGGACTAGATGACCCTTAGGGGTCCTTTCCAATCCAAATCATTCTATGACTCTAAGATTCTCCTGTAGCACTGACTCCTGAACGATCTATGATGTAGGAAAATGGTATTTATTATATCTTTGGTAGGTAGTTTTCTATTTTTCTGTGTCTTTTTTGTCCAGACAGCATATTTGATAGTTAGTATGGAACTTGGAAGTAGTGTCTGCTACTGCAAATGAACTATTTTCCAGTGTATTTCTTCATCTGTACTCATTTTATTTTACTCTTTGTGACTTCTCGTTTGCAACTAACATTTCATTTGGAACCTTCAAGTACTGCTCTTAGAACAAGTTCCACTTATTCCTAGAAAATGCAAAATAGAGCAGTCCTCTGCTTCTCCTTTGTGGCCCAAAGCATAAAAGGCAATATGAAAAGCACGTTTGATTTTTAGTGCTAAGTGTGATAAATTACTGGAGCCTTACTGTACTCACTGTAGCTGAAATCAATTAACAAAAACTAGTTGGGTTGGGAGAATTGGAAACTACTTAAGAATTTACGGATTTTTTTGGTAGTTATACTGGCATGAAAAAGTTGTAAACAATGTGAATAAAGTGCATAAGGAATATATAAAGCACACCATCCATCTCCACTGGTGCTTTACAGGGGATGTAGTGAGTGCCTGCAACCTTCACACACCATTCACATTTATCAGTTGTGCAGCTTTATTTCTAAACAGGGACAGACGTTCATGGGAATTTCATGCCTCTCAGAATGTTTATTTGGCTGGCTATCACCATGACTTCCAAGCTATTTCCACATAAAATTAGCAGCAGAGGCTAAGTTGATACACAACTTCAGTGTTTCTCAGTCTCCTTTATTTTTGGACAGCTTTTGATTAGATGTTAATTTTTCTTACATTTGTTTCATTTTGGAAAGTGACAGCTATAGGTAGACAAATGTTTAAGTCAAAAAATGTAACATGGAAAACTTTTCCCAGACTTAAAATAAGCAGGAAGATAAAACACATGGGATGGTTAGAGGAGCCTACAAAACTTAGTCCAAATTATTATATTTTTCTGAAGCAGAATATGCTGCTTATTCTCTCAGACTGTTATGGTTTTGTTGGTTCATCAGAGATATAATTGGCTATTCTACAGAGTAGTTTCAAAGCATTTTTAAATAAATTTAATATTACTATGTTTTAGACTATGATCAGTAAAAGATAGTCCCAGCTGATTTATAACCTTGTTTTGTTTTGTTTCTCACACAGGTGTGCTTTATCAAGTTGTTCAGAGCTTCCCTGGAGTGGAGAAAAACGTGCAAGTGGATGCATATGTAAATAGCCACAGGTGGAGAAGGCACTCAGAGTCTCTTAAATCAGTCAGCACTAACAGAGCTAGTATGGGGCAGGATTCTTCTGAACCAGGTGGTTTCACAGATCTGCTGCTAGAAGAGGGACATGAGAATGCCACTCAGATCGAGGTACAAATTCATTTCACTTTTTATTTAATTTGTTATTTTTGAAAGGGGGGGAGGGGAGGAAATAAATCAAAAAAGGTGAGTTCTTCAATACATTCATGCCTTAGCAGTTGAATATAGCCTTGTGATTGTGTGTCTGTCCCTGCAAGCATGTGGAAATCTGTTTTTCCTCCTGCTTTGAGATTGGAGAACATCTCTTCTGGATTCTGTGGAGAGTCTCTTGAAGATGTCTGTCTCTGTGGAAACTAGTTACGAAAAGTACTCTGTTGTAGCAGTGCTTTCTGCTTAACTGGAAAAGGAAACAGTATATAGAAAATAAAATAGAAATTTTAAAAGTACCTCCATCTTGCATAGATATCATGTAAATCTCCTTGAAAGTCAGTTGGGTCTTTAAAGGTGTTCTCAGTTTAGAGAACTGTAGGTACAGTGGAAGTTGCCCATGAATAACTTCAGATCCACTGTTGTTTTCAATTGATGCTAAACATATCTAGCTACAATGATTTGTGTAAATTCTATTTATTTTACAGATAAAGCTGTAAATAAGTATTGTATTAGCATGGATTTTTTTGAAGTACTAGATTTGGTTGCTCTCTAATTAATAAAATCTCTATTGTGTTTATCAATAAAATACAGCTTGTAATAGACAATACTTAAAATTTTCTATCTTTGCTTGCAAAGCTTCAGTGCTTTTTTTTTTTTTTCTACTGTTGAGGAGCTCATTCTCAAACAAACAACAGTTTTTAGGTTTAAGGTTATAAACTTATACAATAAGAAATGCAATATAAAACTTGTCTGTAGAGATAATGATGAGTCAAAATAATAACTCATTTTTCAATGTTTTGTGCTTTTTCTTTTTTATTTGATTTGAAATGATTTGTTTATTTTGCCTCATTCCCCACCATCTAGCCATACTTGTAGCAGCTCACTCCAGCACAAAAGATTTCAATCCAGTTTCTAATTATTTTAGCACATAAAGTATGGTGTCTTGGATACAGGAACGTTTGTGTAGCTGATCTTTCCATGGCTCAGAGGTAGACCTGTGTGCATTATCACTTGTGTATCCAGTCTGTTGACTTCCATGCTCCTACAGCATGAAATGAGTCAGAGCTGCCTCCCTGATACTTGCATTTGGCAACGTTTGGGGGAAAAATGAATGCTTGAAAATGGATGTACGTTGAACGATGTTTTCTGTAGCTACGTTTCCTGCCTGATTAATGGCACTGCAGAGTCTTATCCTCAAAAGTACACTCACAGAATCACCCGGGTTGGAAGGGACCCCAAGGATCATGTAGTTCCAACCCCCCTGCCTAGCAGGGCCACCAAACATACACATTCAGATCAGGTTGCCCAGGACCCCGTCCAACCTGGCCTTAAACACGTCCAAGGACGGGGCATCCACAACCTCCCTGGGCAGCCCGTTCCAGGGCCTAACCACTCTCCTAGTAAAGAACTTCCCCCTAACATCCAACCTAAATCTTCCCTCCTTCAACTTAAAACCATTTCCCCTAGTCCTGCTGTTATCAGCCCTTTTGAAGAGTTTACTCCCCTCCTGGGTGTAGGTTCCCTTCAGGTATTGATAGGCTGCAATGAGGTCACCCCGCAGCCTTCTCTTCTCCAGGCTGAACAAGCCCAACTCCCTCAGCCTGTCCTCATAGGGGAGGTGCTCCAGCCCCCTGATCATCTTAGTTGCCCTTCTCTGGACCCTTTCCAAAATCTCAGTGTCTTTCTTGTACTGAGGGCTCCACACCTGGACACAGTATTCCAGATGGGGCCTCACAAGAGCTGAGTAGAGAGGGACAATCACCTCCCTGTCCCTGCTGGCCACCCCTCTCCTGATGGAGCCCAGGATCCCATTTGCCTTTCGAGCTGCCAGAGCGCACTGCTGGCTCATATTCAGTCTCTCGTCCATCAGGACCCCCAGGTCCTTCTCTGCCGAGAGAGTTTATTAATAAACTCCCTACTGAGTTTATTAAATTCAGATTCTGTGCTCCCCTATGTCCCTTTCTTATTCTAGTCTTCCTAGCATGGTAAAATAACTCAATTATGTTCTTGCACATTATCGGATCCTTTTGTAAAATCCCCACTAAAACACACAGGGTCTTTATAAAAAAAAAAAAAAATTGAAAATTGGTGCCTACCTTTACAGAAGAGGTAAAGTGTATGACCAGAATTCACAGTAGAAGTGTTGCAGTGTTCTGCAGCTTAGGAACTGGAAATGCATACTGGAAAGCATATTGATTTTTTTTTTTTTTTTTTTTTTTTTAAACTCCTCTTCTGCATGTGTTGCATGTCTTGTGGGAGAAAATCCATAGAATGAGTACTGCTTGCCACTCATATTTAATAACACTGCAGTACTATTACATTTCTTTATCACACGTACTGTTTATCTCTGAATTATTGTATGGACTTTCCCTGCATGTATGGAAGAATCTTCCACTGGAAGCCTGATCAGTAATGAACATATCTTTTAATTTTTATTTGTTTTTGTTATATTCTTCCTTCTACTGATGAGTTTACTTTCTACCCAGATTTTTTTTTTTTTTTTTATGGCAATTAATTCTGCGCTCTACTTAAAAATAACTGAGAATGTTTCCTGTGTGATCAAATCCATACAGCCACCACGTGGCAAATGATAGAATCCATCTACGTGCATGATAGCTCATGTCCATTAGATTTTCTTGATTTAGGGCAGCAAGATTTATTTTACTTTTGTTTTTCCTTTAGAATGGCACCACTCCAAGTCTCCCTAATCCATAAATTATATTAAGATCAATGGAATATGAACTTCAGACCTCCAAGAGCAGCCTCAAGAAAGTGCATTTTTAATCAGTTTAATCATGTCTTTGCAGGGTGGACCTGCCCCCATCCTGAAGGATAATAGTGGTCAAATTGTCTTATGCTGTTACTCTGGTCTGAAAGCCCGAACAGTGCAACCACTAGGGATGCCAGAAACATTCACTGTCGCATTTGTTTGACAGTGTTATTCAGGAACTCATACAAACTAATGCATCAGATGTTTTCTTGAACGAGATGTTCTCTTGAACCAGACTCTCTGGAAGTTGAAATATATTGCAGAGATAAGCTGAAGCATTGGATATAGTCATATTATGTGCAGAACCATTGGAAATGGACATAGCCCTCAGAAGGAGGTGATGGAACCTTCTCAGAGATCTGTCCTGTTGTTGGAGGGATAGGAATTGCATGGGCCCGAGGTGGAGAGTGGTGGCAACCCAAACCAAAACTGGTAGCGCTAAGAAAAAAAAGGCAAGGGGTGGGAGGAACACCTTTCTGCTGTGGAGTAGATCTGTGTGTATGGCATGTGTGGTCTCTTCTGAAGAGTTGACAGTGAGCTGGAGATAATAAGGTAAGATTAATTTATAGCAAATGGTTATCATAAACACATTAGCAAATGGTATGAGATTATGAAAGCACTTCTTCCTCTTAGTTTAATAGGATTTTTAATAATGTTCCAGTTAGAGATGAGAATGTTTTAAATCTAAAAGAATTTCCCAAGGATAGAGGTTGGTCCCATCTGCTTTCTGGGGCCAAGGTCAGTACATATTTTAATGTTTGCATTTTTACTACATAATATAAGAAGAATGAATGAGTGAGACCTTAATAAGTGTGGAAAAGGGTGAGATACCGTCTTGTACAAATGGACACAAATGCTACAGCCCTATAGAAATCCCTGAAGTAGATGGCATTTAAAATGCGTGGGGAATACGTTGTCAGCAGTCCAAATTTACAGAAGAGTGAACCCTGAAAATGCAGTACTCTGGTGACACAATGCAACCAGATCGGCTTCTTGGCCCTGTGGCAAATGAAAACTTCAGAGTGTTTCTCTTCAAAAGTGGGAGCTTCTCTGGATAAGGCTTATATAGGAGAAATATGAATTGACTACTGCTGTTTTGTTTTTTTGTTTTCCCCCTTCCAATCTGTTTTGGGACTCTGCTTTCCAATCTTAGGAATCAGGGTTGGTTAGGTTTGTTTTTGTTTTTGCTTGTTTGCTGAGTAAATTACCTCCTTTTCAGTGTGCTCAGAAAATTCAGAAGTGCCTTTTATTTATGGTAAACAAGCCCAGGAAATGCAATGGGTAGGGTAGGATTTGTTGTTGCAATCACTGTATGTCCTTGGAAAAGTAATGAGCATGAAAATAGGTCCCAATAAATATGTCTAGTTTGACATATCTTCTTTCAAACAAGGAGAAAACTAGGACAAATATTCTTTTTTTTTTTTTCACCTGTTCTCATAAAAGCGTGGTTATTAAGTAACTGACTCTTTATTTTAACAATGTTAATGCTTCTAGTTAGATTCATGGTCACGTTTTGACTTTTGTATTAATATCCAAAGCACTGAAGTCATCCAAAGGTAATGAAAGCAGGTAGCAGAAGTTCTTGTTCCTCTCTTACTAGAAAGGGAGCTGATCTCTGAAATGCATCCAGTGTGGATGTCAGATTCCTAAAACCTGAGCAAATGATTTTTATTTTTTTTGTCACAGTGCTCTCTAATGTAGGAATAACCATACAGCACTGAACAGAGGGGCTTAATAGTGCTTTAATATATAATTATGCATCACACAAAATATAGCATATTTTTCAAAGTCTAAAATACATATCATTTTCTAAGTTGTGATGAGACATTATGTAAGAGCTCTGTACAGAGATTATTCTCCAGAATTTATAATTTTTTTATCTTGTTTCCCAGGTATTCCCATTAAAGCAGCTCCAAGCACAGACTTTATAAATAATTTCTAGAAAAATTGCTTGGTCCCATCCCTGACCATAATACTTGTGATGATAGAAATTATTGCTGTTTCATCGCAAAATGAACATAGTTTTTTGGTAGGAAAGATATTCCTATGGATATGACTGATATTTCCTCTTTTGTGTACTGCTTTTAACTAAAATAGAGTTGATGCTAACTGAGGGCTCTCTTCTTTTTCTCCTTTCTTTAGTTTCTCTAGATGTTGTTTGGAATGTATGTTTTTAGCAATCCTTGTAATT